AACATCATATATTATATAGGGGTTCGAACTTAAGAATAGTGATACAACATCATATATTATATAGGGGTTCGAAATTAAAAATAGTAAAGTTCCCTGTGGGTCTGAAGGCACGAGAGAGTGAGAGCAGTTCCGGAGACCTCAGTGCAGGGCTCAACGGCTTGGTGAATACTTAAGACGAAATGGCAGGCCCCTTCTACCTAAACCCCCAAAAGTAGGTAAAATAATGGCCCAAAACCCATAAAGCGGCGATTGTTCTACATACTTTTGGGGGCCCAGGTAGTCCCTTTATTCGTATGGCATAGCTTACCACGGCCCCCACTCTTATCCTTCGGGCCCCTCCCCTGCTGAATCCTGCGGGTCTGGTTCCCTTGATCCCTTTCGCAGCCGGAGAGCCTGAAGTTTCTTCATGATCAGATAACCCTAAACCCTAAGCCCTAAACCCTAAACCCTAAACCCGAAACCCTAAAGAAAAGAGTAAGGAGGTTTTGAGCCCTAAACCCTAAACCCTAAAACCCTAAAACCCTAAACCCTAAACCCCAAAGCCGATAATTTGTCGGCTTTGGGGTCTGGTTGAATTGAACACCCGAAAGCCTTAAAGTGAAAGGTTCCGAGCCTGGTGGGTGTCCCAACGCTGGGCCGGTCACTGCCCAGGCGGGGGGGATGCAGAATAAGACGGTTCCTGAAAGTAGAGTAATGTAGGAACCTGGTCAGAAACCCTGGCCCTAGAACCCCAAAACAGTAGGATTCATATAGTATAGCAAAGAAGACCCCAAGATTTCTTAATCAGCATCCTACATAACTAGGGATCCTTACGGTAATTGAAGCAGTATTCCTTCATTAAGGGAGCATCTGGAGTCGCTGGAGAGTCAGGTTTCAATTTTGTCGGGGTCATCTTAAGGGTTTAGGGTTTAGGGTTTAAGGGCTTCAACAAGGTTTCAAAAAGCGCTTACGAGGGTCTCACAGAGGCCAACAATTTGCAGTGCGCGTTTTCTTAGAGCTCCCTCCTGCAGCTAAAGCGCCAAAATATCCCATAACAGCACTCTACGGCCCTCGGTGTTTGCCAGGCCTGAACCTGCATAAAAAAACGCCTGAAAGAACACATTTTGTGGTTAGGGCTTAGGGTTTAGGGTTTGGGGTTAGGGTCTTTGGGTCTCGGGTTTGGGGTTAGGGTTTAGGGCTTTGGGTCTATTCTAATCACTGAGCGTTTGCCAGGCTTGCTTTGCTTCCGTGGGCTGTCACTGGACGGCCGCTCGCTCCGGGTGAGATGTACGCTGTGGGGTCTGGTCTGCCCGTGGCGCTTCCACACCGGATGTTTGCAGTGCTTTTTGGGTAGATGGCTTTAAATTACGGGATGAAGCCCGCAAGGGGGGAAAGGGAACACAGGTAGGTTGGTAATCCAAAAAACAGCGGGCGCTTCAATCCAGGTTGCAAGCTGGTCGAACTGCAGCGACGGATGTGGCCGCGGTTTGCGCCAGCGCCGCGTCCTTTGCTCAGGCCTTGTGCCGTAAATCCTAGTTGTCCTAGTTAGGCGTTCAGAACGTGGGATTCATGATTCGAAAGTCTTCCGATTCCGGATGTCGCGATTCGGTTTGAGGTCTTCAGAGATTTGGGGTTTAGTGTTGCGCGGTCCGGAAATTAGAGGGGAATCACTTCTGAACTCTGAACTTGGAGTGATCATATGAGTGCCAAAGCCCTGAACCTGAACCCTAAACCTCAAAGCCTTCAAGGAAAAGAGCTTTCACTTCAACCACAAACCGTAAGGAACCCTCATCTCCAAAATTCCCGGCAACCCTCGAGCCTGATTCCTACCCAAGTCTTAAATTCTACTGTACCGGTTGCCCAACAGACCAACCTATATTGGGGAACTGTATAGAGAAACCACAGTACCGAACCTGCAAAGGTAGGTCGTTTTGGGGATTACACCTAGCCCTACTCTCCCGGGGAGTAGGGTTTTGGGGGTTCTCTATTATATTTATATTATTATTTACATACCCGAAACCCTCTTCTACCTAAACCCCCAAAAGTAGGTAAAATAATGGCCCAAAACCCATAAAAGGCTGTTCTTCTACATACTTTTGGGGTCCAGGTAGTTATTAAGGCTCCTATATTACGGCAGGTGGACGGGATGACCCTAAACCCTAAACCCTAAACCCTAAAACCCTAAAACCGGCA